CACACACACACACACACACACACACACACACACACACACACACACAAATGGACATGGCTGAGTGCCCATAGAACTTCATTCGTAAAAGCAGGCAGAGGGCCAGAGATGAGCAGTCTCGTAGCTTGCTTAAGTAAGCCTTGCTCTTTACCACCATGCCAGGCCGCTACTCACAAAAATGATGATAGCATTTGAAATGCTAGAGTTGTGACTTCTCTTTGAGGCTTTCTGTGGTGTATTTAACAAGTAATATGTTTCTTCAGTTTAACAATAAAATCAACACTTGAAAAATGCTTATACACTAAAGATGGTGAATATTATGACATATGCCTTCCTTGTGCATATGCTTAGTTTAACAAAAGACCTCTTTTCCTTTTTGGTGCCTGACCTAGGGCTTGAACTCAGGAGCTAGGGGCTATTCCTGAGTTTTTTGTTGCTTGAGGCTAGTGCTCTACCACTTGAGCCACAGTTGTTCCACATCCAGCCTTTTGGGTGCTTAGTTGGAGATAAGAGTCTCATGGCCTTTCTTACCCCAGCTGGCTTTGAACTGTGATATTCAAATCTTAGCTTCCTGAGTAGCTAGAATTAAAGGTGTGAGCTTCAGGTGCCTGGCCAAAGACCTTTTGTTTGAAATCCATGCAAATAATGCAATATATGTATGTCTTCTCATAGGGCAGGCACAAGTTGATTCAAATCTAAAAAGTGAGATTACAAGTATAGGTGACCCCGCTGTCCCAATAATGCCACCTATATTAGCTGAGTAATTGCCATCCTCACAATTCCCTTTGCCTCGAATATTTTCCTGTTCCAGCATCTTGTCAGAGGATAAATGAAGGACAAGTCTTTCATTCTGAGCTCTGGACTAGGCTGATATTTGCAGATTTTTGTTGTACTGGGGCAAGATAAAATCATAAAGCAAAACACACTGAATGCATGCAAAAAAGTAAATCTTTCTAGTTAATTAATGTGCTATATTAATCTGGGATGGAATCCAGTGTCCAAATGATTATAACTACATTAATAATTATTTATGATAAGTGATACCCAGTCGTTATGATCTCATTGCCATTGATGAATAGCACGGGAAATTCCACCAGACCACTTCAGTTACATAAACAGAGATCAGCATTACCTTTAAAACATCCTCCAGATGTCAAAACTAACTCATGATGGGGGAAAGAAATGCTACGATTAATTGCTATAGTTTGGGTCTTTATGAATCTGATTGGGTCAGTTTCGGAAAGAAATCTTTCATGTACAAAGTAGTTCCACATTTCCTGGGAGGTATTAGCAAGGAAAGGGACCCCCCCCCAATCATTAAATGCTTGTGACACCTTCATTTGCAACAGCTAATGACCGAAATATTTTTTTTCATGAAATACGGTCCTGAAGTTATTGATCCACACAATGAGCCATGTTAACAATGCTCTGAAAAACATTTTTTATACCTTTTGAATTCTGCATGTCTCATTGGATAAATTAATGGAACGTAACAGTCTGTCTGCACCTTTCAAATGCAATGGAAGTATGTACATCTTTTTCCAGATTAATGATGATATAATGGTATTTACTTTTGCTTAATGGATTATACCTTTGGTTGTTTTCTTACTCTTGAACTCTGTTAATGTTAATGTGTGCTCCATGTTTTATGAAATGGTGTTAACTAGAGCAGTAATAATGGATTTGTGCAATCATTGCTGGGCCAGAAATCAAGGCATCAGCATGAGATTTCCGGATTTTCCTCCAAAATTTCACTTTGCCTCTGATTAAATGAAATCAGCCATTCCTGCTGATGCTGCTTCATATGGCCCAGTTTGGCTCAAATGGGAAATAAACATCAGAATTCTGAAATTAAAAAAATAAAATGGTATGCTACAGCAAGAGGTGAACAATAAAGACAAGGTTATTTGTGTGATATAAATGCAGGTCCCAAATTATCCAAAGATGGATGCAAATGTTTGTCAACAGAGAACCCCCTTGTGGAGTGATCGTTTAAATTCTAAATCACAAACTTCCAAAGTGTGTTGGTTGGAACTCCACAGATAAACAAAAATCATTCAAATTCTCCCCCATGGAGGAAGGCAGCCCAAAGCACACCGGACCCTCAGTGGAGGGGGAAGTATAAGTCAGTGTGTCTACTGTTCTGGTATTGGAGTCGCAAAGCTTTGCTGCCATGGGAAATGTAGCCCAGAATTCTCTGCGTGAGTGAGGAAGACAGGACTGGCGAGAGGGAAGAGAGGATGCTGTGTTGACAACAGATGGCCAGCATGCTGTTTTAATGGATTACCCCTTCCATCTTTATTTTTTTCATTCAAATATAGCATGTTATATTAATTTTTATTTTTGAAGTATCACTCTTAATTGATTGTATGTGTTATCGAACATGTTATTTTTTTTTAAGGAATACCATTTTAACAAAGACCAATGAAGTCTTTCCCTCTGCACTGGGTAAGGTACCCTCTGTCAATATCCAATTACCCTGACTTATGCTCTGACATATTTAAAGTGGAACTAGTAGTGATTGAGACTGAATGATGGCAAGGGACTTACTCTCATCAGTGGAAATAATTCTCTCCACTTACCTTTGGCAAAGTCAATTTGGAGTCATTGAAAACAGATATGGTATCAATTGAAAAATGTCAAAAGTCAGAAGGACAAGTCAAGAGCTGCCCAACCAATATGGTATTCAAGAGCCACATGGAGCTATTTAAGTAGTTTAATTAGAATTAAATACAGATGCTTCTCCACTTACAATGGGGTTGTGTCTTGATAATCCCATGGTAAAATGGAAATATCATAAGTGGAAAATGCATTTACTACATCTAACTTGCCACACATTGTAGCATTTCTAGCCTACTGTAAAAATTCCCAAGATACTTAAATTAGCATACAAGAGGGTAAAATTGTCTACTAGAAAGTCTAATTTGTAATGAAGGGTGGACTATCTCCTATAACTCCCTGCTTACAGTACTCTATAGAGGAAAGTGCTGTTTACCCTGGTCACACGGCTGGTTGGGAGGTGTGGCTGCTGGCCACTGCCCAGTATCAGAAGCAAATATTGGATGGCCAAGCACAAACCTAGAACAAAACAAAATTCAAAATTGGAATGCATTTTGTGTTTCCACGCTATTATAAAGTAGAAATATCCTAAGTCTGGCCATCTAAGTCAGAGATTGTCTATAAATGTATAGTTAAATTCTCAATAGCGACATGGGACTTGGGGCCACCATTTTGAACAGAGCAGAATTCATTCAGAGTGGGCTGGAATCAAGAGAAAGTAGGTAAAACCACAGAGGTGAGGCTCAAATTCTCTTTTCAATGTATGCACTGGAAACAGGACCACAGGCAAACACACTGGCCCCTTTCCACCTTCTGTATGTCTGAGGGGGAGAAGATGAAAAACACAGGGGCTGGGGTTCTTGCCAAGCTCTTCACTCAAAGAGAATGCTCAGGAACAAAAAAGAACCGTGTTTTCTTGACCCCGAGGACCAGCGAATGGACCTAACACACGTGTACAGTGTAGCCCATTGTTTCTATCATTGCTCTTTTGTCTCTGCAGGTATGCCATTGGCCTTGCTTACAAATCAGCCCCAAAGCATGAATGGATTGGGAAAAACTCTGCTTCCTGGGCCCTCTGCCGCTGCAACAATAACTGGGTGGTCAGACACAACAGCAAGGAGACCCCCATTGAGCCAGCCCCTCATCTCCGGCGCGTTGGCCTTCTGCTGGACTATGACAGCGGCTCCATCGCCTTTTATGATGCTTTGAACTCCATCCACCTCTACACCTTCGATGTGGCATTTGCGCAGCCTGTGTGTCCCACCTTCACTGTGTGGAACAAGTGTCTGACGATCATAACTGGTCTTCCTATCCCAGACCACTTGGATTGTACAGAGCAGCTGCCTTGAGTGTCTGATCACATACACCTGCTTTCTAGAGGCATGAATAAGGTTGAGGCCATTATTTAGGGAACCAAGAGAGCAGAGGCTTTGAAAATCTGATTAAATCTCCCCCAAAGTATCCAGAAATGAAACAAGATAGGGCTCAATATGGGAGAGTGCTTTCCTCTTACTGTGTTTTGTATTAAGTACAGGCTTTAATAGTTTCTTTAATTTTTTTTGTATTTAGAGGAAAATCTATAGAATTATTTATAAAAGAAACATAATCGGAATTACAACTCTTAGGAATTACTTGGTTTTGCACAAGGAGAGGCCCATAAGTTTACCAGATCTTTACGCCTTTTAATTTCATCACCATTTATGGGTTTGCAAAAAAAAAAAAAAAACTTTTTGTAGATTTCTGTGTTTATTCATCTTCTCACATACTATTTCATACTGAGCCCATGGGAAGTCTTATCACTTTAACAGTGCATAACAAAACATGCAGCTATTTTTAAAAATATAAAGTAATTTTGAACTAATTAGGGATATAAACAAGTTTTCTTATAATGATTTGATTTGGAAGTGTTTGTAACTGTGATGTCAAATCTCTTGTTGGATCATCTAGAATGGAGAAAGAGAATGTTCAGAATTGACTGAACTTTAGACTTAGCTATGACTTATCCTTTAACTTCCTTCTGATGACTAGAGGAATAATGTTAGGATGAAAGGTTCTGGAGCTTTGGTTGTATGTTACCCCTCTTTTCTAAGAGATTTGGGGCTAACATTATGAATGAGATTACAATTGAAAATAGTGACTTTGATTTTCTGCAGGTTATTAAAAAATACAGGCTGATTTGTCTTTTATCAGAAGTAGGATACTGTTTCATGCTTTAATAGTTTTATCTTTAGGCCTGTGAAAATTCTTCATTACATTTAATAGTTGTCCTATTTCCCCCTCCACAAGTCATTTTTTTCTTTTATACCTGGGACTCAGGAAATAAACCTGTTATTTCATGAGTGAAAACTATACTTTGAATTGATTTTGCTCTCTGGGATCAGTGTATGTCCCAGACCCCACAACCACATCCAAGTATAAGAAGGAGTAATAACAAGGGACATTGCAAAGGTACAATTTACTACTGTATATCCTTTAAAATATTACAAACAGAATCTTATTAAACACATCTTGATAGATATAGAAGTTCCTCTATTTTATAGTGTAGCTTACCTTAGAGTTGTATGACAAAAAAGAAAATTTAAACTCTTCATATGCAGGCACTTTATTGAACCTGCTAATGAAATGTCAGATGAGTGTTTTATTTTATTATTATTTTTTGCATGCCGATCTGACACATTGGAATGGTCCCTGAATTAAGGCTTCTTTGGATGGTCTTTAAGCTGGGATGTTAGCATAGATTCGCTTCTGCAAAGAACATGACCTGTATACATGGTTTTAATTGCTAAAATATTTATCTGGGCTACTGGGTCAGGCACTGACCGAACATACTTATAGGCTGAGGTATTGTTTTTAGTGGTTTTGTTTTTTAACAAAATCATCCATTTTTCCCCTCAAATAAATCAATAAATCATTGTTTCTTCATCACATGGCCATTGCTGATGTGATTGTCAATCTAGACTTCAGGGAAAACCAAGCTTCCTATGTCTTTATAGCTCTTCCCTGGCAGTCGCTGTCCTTTTTCTTAACAGAAAGATTCTATATATTTACTATATTATTTATACCCAGATGGATATTTTGATAGCAACTTGAGACAATTTCACGTCTTAAAAATTGACACCTCATTGGAAAATTATTCATCATTTCTCTGGAAAATGAATGGGACTTTTTTTTTTTTTAGCCAATACCAAAATGATGTATATTTGCCTTCCCTAAATAAACTGAAAGGGTTGCCTCAGTAACTTTTACATGTTTTGGGTAACTGGATAGTGGATATTTAAATGCACTTTGTACACTTACAGGTTCTAAGTAATAGGGTCTAAAACTCAGTTTCTGAGTTTTTAAAAATCATGATCTCCAAATACCAATAAATGCTACAGTTTGCCTTATGATGTTCACGTAAAACATTTATTAAAAAGACACTATTTCCATGAATATAATGTTTTTTTCAGGATGAAGATATTACTACTCAAATTTTCACTGCAAGTTATTTAGGGTATGTTTTGGCTATTTTTCTAAGGATACGACAGATTATGTTATAATTTTGTTGTGGAAGTCTCACTCTTGGCTAACTTAAAAACATTGTGGATGTAGCAGTTACTATTTCCAGGTTGTCATATTTACAGGAAAATATGTATATGGTGAAAGGCTACAGTGTTTAATGACTGTAATGATGTAGAAAGGATTTCCATGTGGATTTTTTTGAAAGTCTAAAAATACATGCTGTAAACATTTGCTGCAGTATAATTGTGTATTCTCTTTAAATGGATTGGGGTCACAATATTTTATTCTTTGAGGTCCTTCACAGGAAGCATTTCCATATGAGACAAAAGAGATGGCAGTGCCAATTATACTAATATAACAGAACTGATTTGACGCTAACCAAGGCTACAAGGGCTGGTATTGTAAGTGTGCAAATGGCTGAATTGCTCAGAACTCTGGCTTCCAAAGGGCCTCAAAGCCTGGTTTCATGTTCTGTCACTGTCATGAAATTCTTGAAAGTTTGAACAAAGGGCCTGTATTTTCACTTTGCACCGGGCCCTGCAAGTTATGCAGCCAGAACTTTGAAACATGGCACCTCTCTTCCTAGTGGATTGAAAGAAATCAGAATCTAAAGTTGAAAGTTACTGACTATGCCATTCAAGTATGAATCCAAATGGTGGACTGAGCTGAGGATGAGCCTACAAGATTTTCTTTTCAGCTTTGAAAGGAGGCGACTTCAACACTTGAATGCAGATGTTCCTGGCAGTTTCTACTGGAGAAGAGGAAATGGCCTGGATACTTACAGGCTTTTATTATGGTACTGATATATATATTGACTTTAATTTCTTGAGGAACTGAACTAGTGCTTTCTATTCAATATGGAATTCCATCTCATCTTCAGGCACACATGCAGATGCCTGCAGAGACACATGCCTATATACTTATGCACACATATAGTGGTGTTGGGAAAGTGACAACTGGTCTACCTTGATAAAAACATGAAAAAGCATATAAAGACAATGATGACAGCTGGATAAAATTTTTGAAGACAGTGCTTCTCGTCCAGGGCTTGATTTGGCACCCAGGCAATAATGTATGGGGTCCATTTGGGTTGTCATAACTTGGGGATGTGTTGCTAATGGCATCTAGTGGGTAGAAGTCAAGGGTGACATTGAGCATCTGGTGGTGTGCCACAGCTCATCACCACAGTTATCTTGTAAAAGGTGTTATGTCCCAGTTCAGGCACTTGGTTGTTGGCTTTTTTTTATGTGCAAAAAGAGAAAAATCTGGAGCTGGCCAAAATCTTCATTGTGGTGACTCCTTTAGCTTCAAAACTATTTACAAAATACAGCAATCTAAACTCTGTAAAGCAATCCAAGCCTGTGAAAATGGGAATCCCAGATAAGCAATGTAACAAGAATGAGCTCCATTGGGAGAGGAAAAGCCATTTGAATGCCTCTTTGTACTAGGACAAATTCAGTCCCAGCCACGAGTGTCACATTGCTAAGCCCACAGTCCAGACACTTCGCTTGATTGTTACTGCTTCCTGGTTCAAAATAAAATCATTTTTGTGACACCAAAACAGATCTTGGCCTGTCTCTGTTGTCTTCCTCCATCATTCTATGTTCTACCATCTATGATTTCATCAATATTTATTCAATTTGTTTCCCCTATTTTGTGACAGGCAATTTATTTTCTTTGACACCTGAAACTGACTCATATCCACCATCCACTCTTTTCCATTCAAAGTATTGTATAAGAATACTTTGGGAATTTTAAAATACAACACAATCTGATAAAGGATTGGTAACCCAGAGTGGGGATTTCTTTAAAGTTTTGTGGGTGAGGTAGAGGAAGGGGGGAGAGCACAGGCTGTGTGCATAGGAGTAGTGGCCTTTACACTGTTGTCTAACCTCCATAAGTATATGCTCCAAACCACCCCGAGATGCACAGGAAAGCCCCTTTGGTCTAGATCAGTGTTCTTTGGTGCCACAGCATCAGGATCACTGAAAACTTGGTTGAAATACCCATTTTCCCTTCTCCACACCTGCTGTCCCAGTGATCTGACTTCTAACAGGACTTGCAGGAGATTCAGATACTAACAAAAGTTTATGAAGCACTGCCCTGCAGTTTTCTCCCAGTCTCAACCCAAATAAAAAGGTGTTTATGACATGTACAACTTTCCGAGATGAGTCACTTTAGAGGCAATGTGAAGTAGTGCAGGGATTCTTTACCTGATGGCATTAAAATCAACTTTGCTGTACATGTTGACTCATGAAATCTCATTCTGGAAGACCAGGGATAAGAATTCCAGTGTGGCCCAACAGCCTGCACTTTTTTTTGGGGGGGGTCTTTTGTTGGGCTCAAACTCAGGGTCTAGATACTGTCCCTGAGTTCTTTGGCTCAAGGCTAGGGTTCTACCTTGAGCCACAAGGCCACCTCCAGACTTCTGGTTGGGAGATAGGAGTCTCAGTCTTTCCTGTCCAGGCTTCCTTCAAACAGCAATTCTCAGATCTCAGCCTCCTGAGTAGCTAGGATTACAGGTGTGAGCCACCAGTGCCCTGCTCAGCCTGCACTTTTTAAACTGGTTAGGAAATAATCAGTATTGGCAACAAATGGTATAGACACAGGACTGGACAACTTCAAGGGTTTGATGGTGAATATTTGACTATTTTAGGGTTTGCAGGCTACACAGGCTGCAACAAATGCTTCAGTCTGTGGGAGAGCAGCCCAGAGAATATGTAAATGAGTAGGCGTGGCTGTGTTTCAGTAACTCTTGGCCTACTCGCTGTAGTTTGCTGGCCTGTGCTGTGGAAGACACTGGAGAGCCCTCAGGTGTACTCTAGTCTTTTGCCCACCCAGCCCATGCCCCTTCATGCCCCAGTGAGCTCTAAAAGTCCTTTCAAACACTATCAATCCTGTGAAATCACAGAATTAAGTATGGAGTACTTAAGGCCACTCAGTAGGATTCCTTCATGTGACAGGCCAGGTGAAGTGTGCCGAGTCGTTCGCTTTTACAGCCTTCATAATTTCACCTCAAATGCGCCCTTCTCACAAGTGGCAAATGTGTAAAATATATTCCCTTTCATAAGCATTTTGAAGTACATTTAATTTGAACTTTCGGAACTGAGCAGACACCACTATAATGAAGCAGCGTCCGTGTTAAGTTGAAGGGCATGTCTCCCACGCCACAGGGGAGCCCGCAGCCCCTCTGCTTTTCTGTAGATAGAACTACGGTATGATGGAAAGTGCCAAAGCTTATGAATGAGTAGAGTAGGAGCACAAAAAGAGGAACATGCGGACCTTGCAAAATCCTTTGCCTAAGATTATCATGGTCACCACTATGGATGTTCATTTTAAGAAGGTAAAAATAAAAATGGGGTCTGGGACTTCGAGAAAACCCTGTCCTATGGCTGTCCTAGCTTCATATGTGCAATTTGTGAAAAGGAATTCAGGTCTCTGAATCTTTTTAGCCATGTCCTCCTAAGAGAATTATTAAAGCATGATTAAACAGGAAGTAAAGCAATTAACGAGCAAATATGTCATGGCCAAAAACCAATTACCAATTAAGGTACAGCACAGAAAAAAAAATGATTTAATGAACATTGGTTCTATTGTGCAGTCTATTTATTCTCAAAGCTCAATTTTGATTATGGTCATTAAAAGCTGTTCAATTTCATTAAAGCATTTGAAATAATAATGCTGATCTTCCCCTTCACTAACCATAGTTTCCCGCCAACTACCACCCTCCCTTGCCTGCTCTTCTCTGTCAAGCTTCCCAAAGAAAGGGCTCTTCACACCTGCTGCTTCTGATTGCTCGCCCGTCATGATCCATCCCACATTCCGTCCCAAGTTCAGAGTTCTCATTCCACCACACACTGCTCATGGACATCACGAACAACTTCCACATAACTAATACCAAAATGTTGCCAGGTATTTGGTTGGCCTCAGGTCATCACATTGGAGATATTGACCACTTACTTATTTTAATTCCCTCTCTAGGCAATTCCATCCAAACCACCACTTCAATCACCATTGCATGCAGAAGCTTTCACCTTAAATTCAGTGGTTTTGTTGTTGTTGTTGTTTTGAGTTGTTTTTGTTGTTGTTGTTGTTGGTTGTGGGGCTTGAACTCTGGGACTGGGCGCTGTCCCTCAACTCTTCAACTCAAGGCAACTGCTCTACCTCTTGAGCCACAGCGCCACTCCCCGTTTTCTGGTGATTCATTGGAGATAAGAGTCTCACGGACTTCCCTACTGCGGTTGGCTTCGAATTGCTATTCTCAGATCTCAGCCTCTTGAGTAGCTAGGATTACAGGCGTGAGCCCCCAGCCCCCAGCTTTAAGTACAGTTTTTAAAGAGCTGTACTCATGATCACTCACATATGGGTTACAGCAAAATCAGTATAAGTGCCCATATATATATACATATATATATAAAACACATGTATATGTGTATGTATGTGTATATATGTATATATACATATATATGTGTATATATACAAAAAAGAAGACAAAAATTTCAAATCAGCAACTTAATGATATCACTCAAGGCACTAGGAAAGGAAGAACAAACCAAGCCCAAATCTAGAAGGAAAGAAATAGCAAAGAGAAGAGCCTGAGAGAGGTGTGAGAGGTGGGAGGAGAGAAAGAATAGTCAACAGATACTAGGGTGAAGCTGGATCAAAGGGATGAGTTCATGTTTTATAGTACAATGGAATAACTATAGTTTACCAGAATTAATCATTTCAAAATAGCTAGTAGAAAGAATTTTGCAGTATTTTCACAATAAAAAAATAAAAAGAATTTTGAATCTTCCCAACACAAGGAAATGATAAATGAGTGCAAGGATGGGTGAGGTGATGGATATGCTGATTACCTAATGTGATCAGTATTATACGTTTACTTGTTTTGAAATGTTAGGACAGCCCCATAAATATGTACACCTATTGAAAAGATTTATTTACTGAAAATTTAAAAAAAGTTTATGGGGCTCAGTGGTACTAGGTTTGTATGGTATGAGCAAAGCCCTGGGTTTGATTCCCAGTAATGCAAAAATACGGTGATTTTTTTTTCAAAAAAGTGAATTTTTAATGATCCTTATCACCATAAAAATAAGTAAATAATTTTTAAAAATATATTTCCAAAATGAAAATAAAACCATGGATTCTCAATCTTTCACCTGGCGTGGTAGAATGTAAGTCGTTGTTTTTGTGTGCTGGTCCTGGGGCTTGAACTCATGGCCTACGTGTTGTCTTTGAGCTTTTTTTGCTCAAGGCTAGCATTCTACCACTTGAGCCACAGTTCCATGTCCAGCTTATTTGGGTGGTTTAGTGGAGATAAGAATCTCATGTACTTTCCTGCCCTGGCTGGCTTCAAACCAGGACCTTCAGATCTCAGCCTCCTGCGTGGCTAGTGTTATAGGCGTGGGCCACAGGAGCCTGGCTTGTAAGTAATTTTCAGAGGTAGACAGTAAATGTATTTAAATAAGACAATGATTCCACATATTTTAACTTGCATTTCATTGCTTTGCAGCCTAAATCCTCTTACATTTTTTTCCGCTTTCTCAATAAAGTATGATTTACTATTATCCGTATTTTCTCTCACTTAAAAAAATGATTAAGAGAGAAGACAGGGTCAGGCGGGACAAGCGGTGTGGACTTGCAGGCTTTTGAGCTGGCCATCCCAATGGAGGAGGCTGTGGGGCCTTTAGGTGGACTGGCTGCTTTTGGAGTCTGCAGTCAGCACCCAATAAATAAGCAGATGTAGATGACGACAAAGATGAATGGCCTCAAGATTGAAATCTCCCTGTCAGGCCCAGAGGTGAGTCCATCTTCAGGAGACCAGGCTGAGAAGCAAGCAGAGATTCAGGCAAGAACAAACGTGCAGCTGTCAGCCTGGAGTGATGAGCTCCATCAAAGCTGGTGACCCTCTGGGCCCCTGGGGAACTGGTGCAGGCAGGGAGAGGCGGGGCTGGCCGAATCCCAGCATCTGTTATCGGTTGTCTCTAGCTCCCTCTCTGCATTCCCGCCCTGACACTGGGGCCGTTCTGAAATGGAGAAGGGCTGCTATTGGTGGGGGTGTTGCAAACCTTCAAATGACTGACTGGAAGCAGAAGTAGCAGAGCTTGACCTCTCCACCCGAAGAGTTCACGGGGCCAGGCAGCCTGCAGAGGCTCCGGCCTTGATCCCACTGGGAAGGCATTCCTCATGAAGCAATGCCACTGGACTCTGTGGACTCACTGGGCTCAGCCCATCAGCTCTTCTACTCCCTTCTTGGGCTCCTTCTAGATCCTGAAGTATACGTCTTCCTAAAATTGCGAAGTCAGTCCTCTTTGGCGGATGAACGTGTTTGAGTGAGGTTGACATCTGCTGAGGGAGGGACGGGAATACAATTGGCCTGGCAAGCAGTGGCATGGGACATGTCCCAGGCTTGGAAAACAAATCAAGAGGGCTGCGTTGGGAGCCGGGCTGAAGCGGTCACGCCGGGGGGCGGGGGGGGGGGTCTCTGTGGAAGCGCTTCGGAAAGCTACTGGCTCCTGGGACTTTTCAAAGGCAGCCTGTTCTTCCTGAGGGTTATGCC